CTTCCAAAAGAACCCTGTGCAAAACCCTGTGGGACACTGCCCAGCCAGGACATGTTGGAGAATCGCTCGTCAGCACTCAGATACCCTCATTCATATAATGCTGGTAGTGCTACAGGTGCGCAGCCTAATAATCCTCGCAGTAATCTCTGACCTACAGTGTATTCTTTCCCTATAGTTTGCATCACCCCTCAACATTTTTCATACATTTTGCTTTACCTGCCTCTCTAGGTTAATCTGTTTTTATGTCTTCATAAATCAAACAACACAGCTCATTGATATGATTATATAGAAATAAAGCTCTCTTTTTTTCCTCTCCTCCTCACAGCTACTGTGCTTGCCTTCCACCTCTGTTTCTCAGCAGGTTCTCAGATGCCTTGTTAAGACTTTCAAAGCCTCACAGCATACTCTGAGAAGAATGCATCTGTCCTGAGGCTACGAGAAAGTAACTCTGCAATAATATAATTTATGAAACTCCAAGTTCAGCATCCTTTTTTTCCTTTCTATGCAAAGCTAGACAGGAACTAGGGCTGCTGCATTAACTTGGAAGTTTATACCCCACATTGCTTATAATCTGAACTGTAGCTGCTTCTCAGGTACTTCCCGTTGATTTATCCTTTCAGGGCTAGATCCTCACCTGGTATTTTCCCCAGAGGTTAACCATTCCAGTGAGGCTGGCTGGATGTAAATCAGTGAGAAAACTCATCCCTTTCTTTCTAAAGACAAAAAAGTGTAACTTTCTATATCTGATTTTTTTCTTTTATTTCCCCAATCCTTTATATAGTCATTATAGATGTTAAGAAGCCTGCTTTGGAAATGATTAATGCTATTAATATTTTTCTAATTCAATAAAACCTCTCATCTCTGAACTCCTTGCAATATTTTTCTGCTTTCTTCAGCTTTCCACTAATTCAAACATATGACAAATGTGAGTCTTCGTTTCAGTTTTCTATTATTTCTCATGTCTGATCAAATAAATTAACAGACTTTCATTTCTTTCCCAGGAGTGATGCCCATATGTTGATGAAGGCAGCATAAAAATATTACCTGTTCAAACAGGAGGGAAAAAAAGATAAAAGTTATCTTTTATTCACTGTTCCATGCAAAGCAGAGATGCTGATCCTATTCCTTTCACCTTGACAGCGCCCACCATGTTTAACAGTAAATACTGCAAGATTTGCACGAACACCCATCAATCTGGTTTAACTGCACTGTATTATTATGTCCCTTTACAATCTCTTCATACAGTAGCAGTTATTTTAATCACACTACAGTACTTCAGTCATTGGGAAAGAATCAACTGTCCTATCTAATGTACACCCTCTCCAGTCACATGGCACCAGGCCAGCAGAGCAGCACGCTGCTAATGCAGTTTTCTCTGTTTGGACAGTTAAAGATACATCTCCAGGCCAATTTGTACCTGTGTATTGTTGATAGACAGCGTGCCGCAGGCAAAGGGATACTGCAGGAAATGGATTCTCATTTAACCGTGTTTAATTTTATTCTCTGAATCTCCATCATACGTCTTTCCATTTCTTTGCCCACCCAAATTGCTAATGTGAAACAAAGCTACTTCCGTCACTACGGCTCCTAAACTGATGTGCGATGATGCAATGATTGATTTGCCACTCCAGGAAAAGTGGGTCATTGTACACGTTGTACCACAGCATGCTGAACCAAGCTGTCTGTGCCGACATTGGGTTTTTACAGATTTGTTTTTAGAACTTCAGACCTGAGGGGACTACTGTGAATATCCAGCCTGAACACTTCCGGGTTTGGATGGGTGCACTGACGTTCCAAAATGTTCCTTAGCAGCTTATAGGGCTCTGAAGTCATCTGTGCTCCTCGGGAGACAGTATTCTGCTTGCGTATTTTATACCTCACTTGCATGTTTGCTCTGAGGATGGAAAATGTAGAATTCCTCCAGTTCCAAGATATGGGGGCAGATTTGTCATTTTCTAGGATCGGAAACCCTGAACTAATATAAAAATATATTTTAAATATAAAATGGTGTAATTAACAGCTTTTGCAAAGGATTTTGAGTCAGTGAGAAAAATACTGTTGCAGACGGCTCCTTGAAAAAAATCCATTACTTTTACTCTTCTTTTGTGAGATTGCAATAGCGTTTAATAACTTTTCTTGTGTAATGAGACCTGTTGAAACTCACTTTAAGATTGCCTCTTACAATACCAGGCAGCCATCATTTGAAGAGGTAGGTCTCAGTACTAGAGGAGAACCCGCCTACCACTCCGTGGCATTAGGTCAGTATTTGCAGGCTTTTCTGGAGCAGCCCAGTAAGTAACTGAGCACAGATGTCACTGCAGAATCTGAAAGGTCAAGGCAGGTGGGGATTTGTTTTTTGTTTTTCATAGGACCAAAAAATTCAGGGAAATTTAGCTCTTAAAATGTTATCTTTATTTTTATGAGAGTTGAAACCAACCTCCAAACCCCACCTGTTCTGGGCCATGATTTAGCAAACAATAAGTTGGATAAGAACTTTCTTCAGGGCCTATAATTTTTTTTGCTTTGTTTTAGATAAATCCTTACACAAGCACCTTCTCTACTCTTTGCACAGCCCAAAGGGTGGTGCCCTCAAGGGCAGAGAACATCTAATCAGGTCCTTAAATCCTTACATGGGTAAAATCCCTATTGGGATAAACAGTTTTGCCTAGTAAGGACTGCACTTTTAACTTCCAACTGTAATTTTTGGCAGGCACAACCTGGGATGTGGAGAGAAAATCAAAGGAAAAGCCTAGGAAAATGCAGTGCCTCCTAATTAGGGGTCCTTTGGCTGCAGCGTAATCCACTGATTTGGCACCCTGTGCTGCGCGGGGTAAACCTGGACGGTCACAAAGCCACAGCCTGTTACAGAAAAGTCAGCGCAGCAGTGGTGAGTACCCAAGCCCGGAGGGCTCTGCTCTAGTGATTCCTAAGTTGAGGCAGGGGGAGAGAAAATCACTGCCATTCCACTGACTAAATACGACTTCTTCTGAATTTTCCTACTCTGTTCCTCCTCCTGCCGCCCATCTCCTCTCCTCATCTTCCGCAGATGTGGAAGGTTTGCAGGTAGGCAAAGAGGAGATGGTCACAGCAAATGACAGAGCCGGAGCTGAGCACAGCACGCACTGATAAACCCCTGCCAAACCCTTTCCCTTCTGAAACAGAATCCCTGTAATGGAAATAATTACCAAAGAAACAGACAAAAACTACTTCTGAATGAAATTTAAGCTTCAGCAGACCACAGCACCGCCAGGAAATGCCAAATACAAGCAACCATCCCTTCATCCTGAATTCACACCATTTTCTGTTTCTGTTTCCTGTGCAAAGTTATCAATCACTCAGAAACTGCTGTCGGGGGGTTGCTGTGGATCAAGATCTGGATGCGGAATGCCTTGGGACAGGCTTCACCTGACTCTGCAAAAGTGTCAGACAACTATCTCATTTTGAGGGGCCTCTCTGGAAATACGTAGTATAAAGCACAATACTGGGGGATAAACCAGCAGTTTTGTGGGGGGTCTCTGGCAATACCCAGAATGATCCGTATTACTGGGGGAGTAAAAAACCTGTGTGATTGGGGGGAGGGGGGGCACAGGGGGTCTCTGGCAATACCCAGTATGGTACTGGGGTGACAAAAAGCAGTGTGATTTTGTGGGGGACCTCTGGAAATACCCAAAATGATGCATAGTACTGGGGGAGAAAAAAAAGCTGTGTGATTTTGGTGAGGATTGCTGGCAATACCCAGCAGATGGGGGGAGGGGGGGCACAGGGGGTCTCTGGCAATACCCAGTATGGTACTGGGGTGACAAAAAGCAGTGTGATTTTGTGGGGGACCTCTGGAAATACCCAAAATGATGCATAGTACTGGGGGAGAAAAAAAAGCTGTGTGATTTTGGTGAGGATTGCTGGCAATACCCAGCAGAGCATTAGCCAAAAAAAAAAAAAAACAAGGGGTGTGTGTGTGTGTGTGTGTGTGTATGATTTTGTGGGGGACCTCTGGAAATACGCAAAATGATGCATAGTACTGGGGGAGAAAAAAAAGCGGTGTGATTTTGGTGAGGATTGCTGGCAATACCCAGCAGAGCATTAGCCAAAAAAAAAAAAAAAAAGGGGGGGGGGGGGGGGGGGGGGTGGGGGGGTGGGTA